CCCCGGACCCCGCATTCACTATATTTGCTCTCCCCGGACCCCGCATTCACTATATCCGGTCCCCCCGGACCCCGCATTTAGTATATCCCGTCTCCCCAGACCCCGCATTCACTATATCCGCTCTCCCCGGACCCCGCATTCACTATATCCGCTCTCCCCAGACCCCGCATTCACTATATCCGCTCTCCCCGGACCCCGCATTCACTATATCCGCTCTCCCCGGACCCCGCATTCACTATATCCGCTCTCCCCGGACCCCGCATTCACTATATCCAGTCTCCCCGGACCCCGCAGTCACTATATCCGCTCTCCCCGGACCCCGCATTCACTATATCCGGTCTCCCCGGACCCTGCATTCACTATATCTGGTCTCCCCGGTCACCGCATTCACTATATCCGCTCTCCCCGGACCCCGCATTCACTATATCCGCAATCTCCGGACCCCACATTCACTATATCTGCTCTCCCCGGACCCTGCACGTGTTCCAGAATACTACGGGGAGGGAGGGGGAGGACAACTTCCACTTCCAATCGCCTACCATAGCGTCCCTTTTCATTCAGATGGCAACATATAGTGTGGGCTGACACAATAGTACCCTATGCCTGAAGGTCAGCTTGAATTTTTCTTGAAGTTGATCGAGGTTCTTTATTTACCATTCGAACAATCCTTCGTTGCCATCTTTGATCAGTTTTTCTCTTTTATCCACGTCCAGGGAGATTGGCTATAGTGCCATGGGCTGTAAACTTCTTGACAATGTTGCGCACAGTGGACACAGAAACATTAAGATCTGTTAATTGATACAAGTGAGTTTAATTTACAAATTACAGGAGCATCACAAACTTGGAATGCCATTATTTCTTTACAATTTTGAGAAGGTGCCAAACATTTTGTCCAGTCTACTTTTGCAGTTTTGCGTGGAATGTGTCAGATTTGGCTTTTTGTTTCTTCAATTTTTTGTGTCATACCAATGCAAACATGAGAAATAAACACGAGAATGCCGAAACATTTGTAATTGCAACAACTTTCTGGGCGCAGTGGAGCATTATCTGACAGAAATGCAGGGGGGACAAGATTTTTGGCCATGACTGTATATATGTGACAGGATGTTGTCACAGCCAGGGCCATGGATAAGGGGGTACCACCAGTCCTCCTGTACAGGGGCCCAGGCCAGCATGGGGGCCCAGGCAGCTGGGTGAATTGGATTTAGGCAGGGAGGGTGATTGGTATGGTGGGAGGGGATAATTACTGGAACCGATCCCCTGTATGACTCTCTGCAGCAGCTGAAAGATGGCTTTTTCTCCTCTCCCTCCCGCTGGCTTTCAGCTGCTACAGAGAGAGCCATACAGGGGACCGGTTCCAGTAATTGGCCCCGGCCACACTCATCACCCTCCCCATGCACTATAGGTTTCCCCCTGCTGCCCAGGCCCCCCTGTGTGCTCACCCCCACAGTGCTGCCAGCTTCCTTCATCTCCTTTCAGCAGCACACAATAAGATCTTTCAGGATGGAGAGTTGTGGAAGGGTCCGGTAAATATTTCACATGTACCAGCCCCTTCCTTTCTCGAATGAACACAATGAGTGATCAGTAACAATCACTGTGTACAATCATAACAGAAGCATAGTAAACTATTTTTTTTTTGGAAGGGAGGGCCCTGCCAGGTTGGCTTTATGGGGCACCATGGTTTCTAACAGCAGCCCTGGTCACAGCATAACAGGAAGTGCCTGAACAAGGGGCATCATGGCAAAATTACTGGATATTTAATGTGTTGAAAATGCCTTTGGAAATTAAATAACTCTATGAGAGTTTTGCAATTGGCTTTACATCTACTTTAAGGTAAATTTAGCGCTCCGTAAGTGCTTTTCCCTTGTTTTCAATTTTTATTTCTTTTTATTTTTTTGGCATGGTGTTGACTTGATGGATGGGTATTAGGTATAGCAATAAGAAGCATCCTTTCCAGTCGAGCTAAGCAGGAAAATCTTATATATAATCATGGAACAAGGAATCGAAAAATGTGTGAGAGAATACTTTGATTACAAACATTTCCTCCCAATTATATCATGATATCATTTATGGTATATTGAACTCTCACTTTTGAAATAAGTAAGGACATTTTTACAAAATTCTGTTGTTTCTTTAGTGCCCTCCTTAATGAGATTTCTTCTCACTTCCTGTCCTGGTGACCTCAGGGGTGTATTTAGCACAAGGCAAACAAGGCACTTGCCTAGGGTGGAAGTTTTCAGGGGGCCAGCTCCTCCCCCCCAGAAGAAGGGATGAAAGAAGGGACATGCTTGCCATGGGAAGCAGATGGGATCCGAGAGGCTTTGGGCTGCTTGATGGTGTATGTAGAGCCCAGAGGCGGACTGACAACTCATGGGGCCCCCAGGCAATAGAGGATCATGGGGCCCCTGTGTCCTCAACCACACTCAAACCACACCCAAAAAAGCCTATGAAAGGTACCAGGGGCATCTCATGGGGTCCCCTAATGTCCCTGGGCCCTCGGGCAGCGCCCGTGTGCCCAAATGGTCAGTCTGCCCCTGGTAGAGCCTGACTCTCGTTCCTGGGGATGTCTGGAGCTGTGAACATTATTATTATTATACAGTATTTATAAAGCGCCAATAGTTCGCTCAGCGCTGTACATTACAAAGGGGGACAGAACATGTGACAGAACAATACCAATACAATGCAAAACATGAGGGGATCGAGGGCCCTGCTCTTTCGAGCTTACAATCTAGGAGGGAGGGGATGGTGGTACAGGAGGAGATAGCTGTGGGGGATGGAGTGGTAGGAAGAGTGGAGGAGGTCGGCAAGTTAGCAGGGGGTGGGGTAGGCTTCCCTGAAGAGATGGGTTTTCAGGGAGTGCCTAAAGGAGAGGAGAGAGTAGGTGATAATCTGATGGGTTGGGGCAGGGAGTTCCAGAGGATGGGTGACACCCTGGAGAAGTCCTGGAGGCGGGCATGGGAGGAGGAGACCAGGGAACTAGAGAGAAGGAGGTCTTGTGAGGAGCGGAGTGTGCGTGTTGGGTGGTACTTGGATATTAGGTCAGTGATGTAGTTCGGGGCAGTATGGTGGACGGCTTTGTACGTCAGTGTTAGGATTTTGAATTTGATTCGTTGCGCAATCGGAAGCCAGTGGAGGGAATGGCAGAGGGGGGTATGAGTGTCTTTTTCTCTATTGCCAAGGGGGGGGGGGAGTAGAAGGCTCTCCTGGGTGGGGGGCAGGGGTGTTGTTGGTCAATGTCAGCATTGCTAGGTTGTCTCTGCGGGAGGGGAAGGGTGGGTGATGTTGGTCGGTGTCCGTGGGGGCAGACAATTTTTGTGTTGCCTAGGGCAGCACAAAACCAAAATACACTATTGGGTGACCCCTTGTCAAATAAGTTGTCACTGGAACATGAAATGAGAGAACATCTCCTCAAAAAGGACACAGAAAGGGATAAAAACTATGTCCAAAAAACTACAAAAAGAAGAATCCCTGGATTAAAGTATCACTTTAAGGTTTTTGTATTGGATTGCAATTTGGTGAGTGGCTGAGAAAACATTTTCATGTCTAAAGATGTGGAATATTCAGCTTGCAAATTACCTAGTGCATAAAATCGGTTTACAAACACATAATGAGTATTTTAAACCCTAAAGTGCTCATTAAAACCGATGTGGTCCACTGCAGAGCTATTCTAATTGATTCAGCACTCTGCCTCATTTCTTTTTGAAGAAAACTTTTGCTGAGACAAATACGAAGGCATTGCTGGCCTCCATCTGAAAATACTAGTCGGCTGGTTGTCATGCTGATTATTTGACTTCAGTACAACCCTGGGTCATCAACCTGGTCTGGCAAGTGAAGTCGGAGCAAAGGCTGAATTCATGATCCATGCTTCCTCCAAATCAGTGACTAAGAAGGTATTGAAGACAATCGACCACTAAGTCAGGCAGATACCAATTTCAAGAGAAGGACAGCAGCCTTTGTATTTCACATCAAGTTTTTTTTTTCATTATTAATATGTTTCTAAATCCATAAAAAAAAATGTAATATATGGCTGCTCACCCATTCTTAGATGTGGTGGTTTTCATTTTTCAGGCTTTTGTTCCATATGTTCCCCTGGTCATCCTGCCAGTAACACACTTCCCGTCCTAGGGTGACAACACTCTGAGCGGTATATATGGAAGAGCAGCGTTGTCACCTTAGCACAGGAAGTGTGTTAGAACTACAGAACACCTTCCTTTCTCGTCAATTCCATAACACAATAGGAAGGAGGTGTTGTTTAGTACATAGAAAGAGCTGGGAGCTATCACAACTGATAAGAAGGTAGAAACGTAATCGACAGAGTGTTGTCACAGCATAACAGGAACAAGGGGCATCATGGCAAGACTGGATATTTAATATATTGAATATATTGAAGCGCACCGGATTTCTGCAGGATCAACAAGGTACCTTGTATACTTGCAGCATTTTCAAAGAGACTAAACATGGGAAAACATCAAAATGGCTTGTCTGCACACTGCCTCGGTATATAGTGAGCTCCTCTTCATAAAAAAATGACTTCAGCTCTCCTACCTATGGGAGAATCCCTGCCAAGTAGGGGCTTGATCATAGAGGCTGAAGCCCTTTGTAACTAAGAGGAGCTCACTATATGCTGAGGCAGTGTGCCTTGGGCGCCATTTTGTTTTAGCCCTCGATGTGTCTGACAAACCAGTATTCCACCCGACCAGCACCTGCAAACAGTGTGATAACAGATTGGAGACTCTGAGTGGAACCAATGTTATTTGGTTTTTGGTTTGCCAAGTTAAAACATGGGAAAATATTTAAAAGATTTTTTTTGTGTTTTCTTTGCCCATACATTTCATGTTAATACTGGAAAGGTGCAGTAGCACGTGTTCCTTGGTAGATGTCAGAAGATTTCAGTGGTATCCTGTTTGGTGTAATACTTGGGGCGGACTAACCATTTGGAAACTCGGGCACTGCCCGAGGGCCCGGGGTCAGTAGGGGGCCCCATGAGATGTCCCTAGTACCTTTTTCATAGGCTTTTTTGAGTTTGGGCAAGGACACAGGGGCCCCATGATCCCCTATTGCCCGGGGGCCCCATGAGTTGTCAGTCCGCCCCCGTGTAATACCAGTTATTACCTGTAGGTATCGGACCCATCTTATGTCCCCATATACACAACTAAGCTCCATTTCCATGCCTCCCCTGGAGTTCTTGTGATGGAATCATTTGGAGAACTTTTCCTCACGTGGATGTAGGTCATTACATAGGTCTTTTGCAGTTGACCCCTTTAATTCTCCATTCAAATTGATACTCCAGTTAACTGCTTTTTTATATTCTATATTCCTTATGCAAATTGAAAGAAATGAATATCATGGGTTATGCGGAGTGTTCCTGAATCCTTTATAGGGTCGTAATTATTTAGAGATTGTTGAGAAGAGCTGGTGAAGTTAATGTGAACCACAAAGGCAAATTTTACAGTCCAGAGTCGTAAGACTTCTATGAAGGCGATGATATAACATATTAATCTGTGGTGTGGCATTAGCAATCAATTGATTTGATATCTACCGAAATGCTTTCAACAGATATAACATCGTAGTGTGGGGTGCAGCTATAACAATTGATTGAATTTGAAGGATATCTATTTTTATCTACTAGAATTTTCTAGTCATTTTGGCTTAACCATCTCTGGGTTAGGAATTGACTCATCTGATTCATAGGAAGGAGAAGAATGGTTTCGGCAAATTTGTTTTGAGGTCAGAGAAATGTCTCCAAAGCAGATACTCAGTTTCAACCATTGAAATGTTTTCAAAATGTATTCATTTTTTTAAAATTTTCTTTATTTAGAGGGTGTATTTATTAGTGGTGTATTTAGGGTAGTCTAGTGTTCCTTGTGTTTGTGGGTTCTCCCACTGGGTTGTTGTTTAAATGTAGTTGCTTTAATATTTTTTTTTTATTTTTCTGAAAAAAAAAAGAGACAAATAGAGGAATTTTTGGGCACAAGATAAGTTCCTGGAGATAACCTCCCAGAAGCAATTTAAAGCCCACCTTAATTTGCCTTCCGTATTGGCTCAAATTAATTTTGCCAAAGTTCTGGGTAATTAAAACTCTCAGATTAGCTCACCCCTATTGAATCTTACCTGTCAAAGATGTCCATATCAAGGGTCTACAAGGGTCATTTGAATTGGATTTCAAAACTAGGGAAAGCCTTACCATAGCACAAATAGATATACTAAGCTTCTAATTGCTACTCAGATTGTCCACATTTGTAGTCTCCTAAAGCTACTTTGGGTAGACTGCATCAAAATTGACCGTAAAATCCTTGTAAGTGGGTGATTTGACATCGGCTTATTGAAGATGTCGATACCATGGCCTATGAGGGTCGTTTTTAGTGAATCTTATGTAAATTAGGGATTCCCTTACCATATTACACATAGGAATCCTTCAACTGGTATATCTACTCAAAGCTGACCACATTTGTAGTCGCCAAAAGCCACTTTGGTTAGGTTGCATCCAGATGGATCGTAAAATCCTTTTAAATCCATAATAGTAGGTTTGATGACATCAGCTTATTGAAGATGTCCATATCATGGCCTACAAGGGTCATTCTAATAGTCTTTTAAAACTAAGGAAGGCCTTACCCTAGTACAGATAGGTATCAATGACTTGTTTTAGCCACTCAAAGCTGACCACATTTGTAGTCTCCAAAAGCTACTTTAGGTGGGCAGCATCCGGATTGACAGTGAAATCCTTGAAGTGGGTGAGATGACATCACTCTATTGAAGATGTCCATATCATGGCCTATCAAGGGTCATTTTCAGTGAATTTTTATATAAATGGATACTAAAGGCTTACATTTCTTTTTCTAAAAATAACAAACATGTTATACTTACTTGCTTTGTGCAGTGGTTTTGTACAGAGCAGCTCGAATCTTCCTCTTCTCTGATCTCTTGGCCCCTCCCTCCTGTTGGGTGCCCCCACAGCAAGCAGCTTGCTATGGGGGCACCCGCTGCGCTATGTGTCTATTCACACATGGAGCAGTGGCTCGGCTCCACCCCTCTCTCTTCTTATTGGCTCACTGGCTATGTTTGACAATGGCTTCTGCTCAGGGGCGGACTGACCATTCACCTTTTTGGAGAAAGTGCACCTGAAAGCTATTTTTATTTCCATAAATCTAAACACCAGAACCAATGTGTATTATATTGCAGCTTACCAGTCCTTAGATGTGTTGCATTAGTTTTCCTTTTTTTCAGGCTTTAGTTTACCTTAGTGGCAATGGCAGTAACACACTTCTTGTCATAGAGTGACAACGCTCACTGCACTGTATCTATGGAGCAGCAGCATTGTCACCTTAGGACATAGCCGGATCTAGAGGATTGCTGGGGTGGGCTGTACCCCCCCAGATTCCAGTTGTGCCCCCCCAGGTCAGCCGCCCTATGGGCATTGTGCCCCATGTGCTCAGCTCCTCCCACAATCCCTGCACTCAAGACCGGGACAAGGGGGGCAGCCTCACGTAGTGAACTAATGTAAATAGTAAAGTCCAGACTGGAGACGTGGCAGTGGCAGAAAGGAGAGAGCGAGGAGGTGCAGGCTGTGCTCTCCCCCTTTTGTCATTCCAGTACTGCTGCATACAGTAGATGACACAGAATTGCTCTCACATCACACTTTACACAGTATGAGGACAATGCCCTGCCAACCTTACATCCTCCGCCCTCCTTCCTTTTTTTTTTTACTGCACCACCACATTAGACAGGCTAGATCCGGCCTGCTTTAGGACAGGAAGTGTGTCAGGATTACAGAAACCGCCCCTTCCTCCTTTTCCTCCATACAAGAGAAGGGGAGTTGTTCTGTAGTCCACAAAGAAGCTGAACAGGGCTGAAAGCACTGTTTTGCATTTCAGTGCAATTGAGGCAGAGAGCACAGGAAGTTTAGGAGCTCATTGGATTCTTGGCAGGATCAACAGGTCTTTTTTTTCTGCAACAGTACTTGCAACATTTTTAAAAAGTCAAAACATGCAGGGTTGTACTGAATATATTTTGTCTTTTTTACCCAGACATACATTTTACTGGGTAAAATTCTGAAACAACCACCTTTTTAATACTTCACCCGCAGTGCCACCAACTTTGCCACCCATCCAGCTGCACATCACTCCCATGACCCTAACAATGCCATGTTGGGTTAGGTTGGGTGCACCTACTGTAAGTACACAGGAGCACCTCCTCGCTCTCTCCTTTCTGCTGCTGCCACGTCCCCAGTCTGGACTTTACTATTTATATTAGTTCACTGCATGAGACTGCCCCCCTTGTCCCGGTCTTGAGTGCGGGGATTGTGGGAAGAGCTGAGCACATGGGCACAATGTACATTAGGGGGGTTGACCTGGCGGGGCACAACTGGAATCTGGGGGGGTACAACCCACCCCAGCCCAGCAATCCCCTAGATCCGGCTATGTCCTAAGGTGACAATGCTGCTGCTCCATAGATACAGTGCAGTGAGCGTTGTCACTCTATGACAGGAAGTGTGTTACTGCCATTGCCACCAAGGTAAACTAAAGCCTGAAAAAAGGAAAACGAATGCAACACATCTAAGGACTGGTAAGCTGCAATATAATACACATTGGTTCTGGTGTTTAGATTTATGGAAATAAAAATAGCTCTTAGGTGCACTTTCTCCCAAAATGTAAACTTTCATTTCATTATCAATAATTTCTGTGTTTTTAAAAATACAAATTTTACTGAGTATGAACCCCTGGCGTCTTTAACAATAACTACCTAATCCGTTTCTATCCACTAGGTTAATTTGATGCTGAACGGGAAACCAGTCATTTCGGCCTTTGCTGGTGATAAAGACGTAACTCGAGAGGCGGCGACCAATGGAGTTCTCCTGTACTTGGATAAAGAGGACAAAGTGTATTTAAAACTTGAGAAAGGCAACTTGGTCGGCGGATGGCAATATTCTACGTTCTCTGGTTTTCTGGTGTTCCCTCTGTGAAGATTCCTCGGTTGTAGGACATCGGACAATCTTTCACCTTTGTAACCCGAAGATCATTTTTGTCATTGATGGATTGGTGTCTCTTAACCGGCATCTCGTGTTGGAACTCGGATTACGCTGTCGCCGAATTTCAGTGACATTTCAAAGAAAATAAATAAATATTTTGTGTGTCTCAAACTATATTTGGAATCCATCAGACAGTGACTCTATATGCTAATGTTACTGCTAAAAGCTTTTCTGATTTAATTTAAGTGGAATCTATTTGGCGAAGCAGAGGACCATGGATTTTACATAGTTTGAGAAGGACTTGATCCGTTTAGTCACCTTTGTGTTGTGGACTTCAATCAACTGTTGGCCTTTCGTTGCCAAAATATTAAAAAAAAAAAAAAAAAAAAAAAGCAAAAGCTTGATACAATTTATAATGTAATACAATACGCTATGTTGGTTGGTTGTAATGATCCTGATACCTTTGAGTTTCACAATCGTCGTTACTAAATGGATGATCTAATTTCAGTCTTGATGTAATCTTTTAAGTCATTGGTCATGAGTTAAAGGGGAAGCATACCATCCTGATAAAATTTGAGAATGAGGACCATCCAATCATTGTTCTGAGGCCCCACACTTAGACGTTCCTTTATTCTTTGTAGAGAGACCCTGGCTATGTTGACCCCAAAAATTCATATAACCCCTGAAGATGATCACCAGGTTCTGCCATGTTGACTAGCAACTGTGAGACCATTTTCGCCCAAAACTAAAACCTATGACCAGAATAGGAAAAAGTATTATAATCCTGTAATTCTTGGTTAGCTCTATAGTGTGGTTTCCCTGATATACTGGAATGGAATCACATTGCTAGCTATGGGCAGGATAAGTGACCAATCAAAGTAGAATTTGAGCCAAATATTCATGTTTGCATTTTCATTCATGAGTGGACTAGGGTTAGGACCTCTATTTATTTTTTATAGTTGCCCCCTTTGGAAAGACTGTCCCTCCTTTTCTGTTCTGTTGACACTTTTTTTTTCAGGATGTGCCAGTAGGACAGGATGTAAGAGAACTCCCCAGCCATCAGGTATCGCTGTTACCATTCTACAGAGCTCCTAATCCTAATTACAATAATGAGAGGCCTGAGGCTGGAATTGAAGACTTCAGGGCTCACTCCATATAGTTTCAGATACTGTCCCAAGGTGGGGGGGTTACCCTTTCCCATGACAGGCCACTGCCACTCCCAGATAGCTCCAGGCCATAGCTGTAGTCCATCAATGGCCAGAGACCCCAGACTGTTTATCAGCAGATTAAGGAGGAGACCCATTCATTTCCACATTTGCAATGGACTTCCTATAGCAGGCCAGCCACCCCCTTCCAGAGTCTCCCATTCAACAACTGACTCCCAGACACTTCTCAGAGACCTTAGATACCCAGGATACACAACTATATTGCATAGGGAGTGCTGTCCAGCAACACCAAAGCAGGACCCCCAAGATAAAAGACCGTATACCCTGTTAACAAAATCTTACCGTTGGAGGACACAGGAAATTATAAAAAAACCACAAGGAGGGTTAAATCCTTCCACATCCAATCCGAAAAAAACAAAACAAAAACAGATTGCTCACCCCCCCTTTCCTCTCATTAGATCCCTTCAGTGCAGGTACTCTGAAATTACAGTTGCTCCAGGGCTTAGTATATAAGGGAAAGCTCTGCTGACTTCCAGCATCCAATCAAGGGCAAGCAAAAATGTTTGTTATTTTACTTGCATGTGATTGGGTATTCTATAAAAAGAAAAGCTTTATCTAATTTATTAAACTCAGGTGCAACTGTACTTGCAAAGTACACAGTCCATTTGCCTTTAGTAGATCAACCCCTATGCTTTATATGCTACCCAAGCCCTTTCAATCTCAAGTCCCTTCAAGGAGTTTTTTTGGTCATCTCTGACCAATCCAGAGAAGCACCTTCTTATGCCTCCACCATCACACCAGGAATACTAATTCAGTTTGGGCTACAGCACCACTGTATGTGAAACTTGATTTTGCACCCTATCACATAAAGGATTATGTTGGTTCTGTGATGGACTTAAAATGCCCAGACACAGCTGTTACCGGAGCTCCTTAAAGGTCAATATAAGTAGAAAGCAATTTATGTTTGATCGATAGAACAGGACAGCGTACGGCAGTGTCTCCCATTGACAGATGCTCATCTTTTAAATTGTTTATGTTCACGGATATTAAGGGAAAGCTTCGAGGATGTGTGTTACTCTTACATTTTTGTCTATGTATGTAACTGAACAAAAGACCAGCTCTCACTCCCCCATTTATAGTTATATCAATCTTAAAAGTCATTTGAAGTCCAATTGGCAGAAATCATTGGATGTACCTGTGTGTGGGGACATTTAGACTAATGGCCAATGCCAAAAAGCAAAACGTTTGTTGTAATCCCACTAAAAAGTGCTAGGTTTGGGGTAAGGTAGGGACATATTTTCATAAAAAAAAAAGTTTTAAGCTGAATTCCAGGCTAAAGGTGCACCAACACAAAATAGCTCCTGTGCTTTCGTAGGAGGTTCCTGTAATTAAAAAACGGTCACTGCTGCTCTTTCTTTATGTGCAGGGCGTCTGGTCTTGTATCCGCCCCCTCCTACTTTTCTGCAGGTAGCCTGTAATGGGTGGAGCCTGCTTGGCCCCTCCCACAGCACCGCTCTCTGCACAGGGTATGTACAGCACAGTGATGGTGTCACTGCTACTGTGTAACGTACCTGGTGATGGGGCCTGAAATGCAGAGGAAGGCCTCTCTTACAGCTCTGGCTCAGGAGTCCTGGTAAAGTAACAGGGAGCACCAGAGGACAGAGTGAGACGAGTGCCTGATAAGACTTCTGTTGGTGTGCGCTGATGTGCAGCTAGTGGATGGCCCGCCGGCAGAAGAGCAGGAGCTGGAGTCAGGCACGGCTCAGCTGGTTCAGGTGCAGGAAGAAGGATCAAAGGAAGGTCAGACAGACTGGGTCGGCAACTAGCATTCAGATCAGGCAGAAGAGTAGTCAGGAATCAGGCCAGGATTGGTAACAACAAGGCAAAATGAGCAGAAGTGGAAGTCCAAAGGCAAGCCAGGGGTCAGCGCGGGCAGCGTTCAGGCAGAGTCAGGAGCAGATCAGGTCGGCAACAGGAACAGATGCACAGATGCTTAGGGAATGTAGTAGACCAAACGGCACTGACACAAGTAACTAGTGCAGTCTAAACAGTCTGCTAGCGTGCGCATTCAAGCACCCACCAAATGGCCAGGAGCAGGGCTTACAGGAATCCTGCGTACAAGGTAATATATGGGCTTGAAAAATCCAAATTGTATTTTTATCCTTTGTTTTATTATATTACAATGAATGTTTCAACTGTTACTCCCATTTTTCCAAGACCTTGAAAAGCCTTAATGGGCTTCCAAAAGTCTGTTGGCTCTCAAGCATGGAACAAGTGGATGATACAATTTAAAAAGGCAAAAGACATTTTTCACTCCATTACTCAGTTATGCTAGTTAGCAAAATGGACCTAAAGACTATCTCCAATACACACAACTGCAAATTTATGGTTAGGACGCACTAGAGTCAAAGGACAACTACGCATGTAGAAGTAGCTAGTTGAAGAGTTTGCCTGAAGACTCCGGAAAGTTGATGCAGGCTACTGTTGAGCTAACATAGGTGCCAGGGGCGGACTGACCATTTGGAAACTCGGGCATTGCCTGAGAACCCGGTGTCAGTAGGGGGCCCCATGAGATGCCCCTGGTACCTTTTTCATAGGCTTTTTTGAGTTTGGGCAAGGACACTGGGGCTCCATGATTCCCTATTACCCGGGGGCCCCATGAGTTGTCCGTCCGCCCATGATAGGTGCATACTAAAACCCTCAAAGACAGCAAGCCCAGTTGATCTCCAATATTTTGGACTGCCATTATGCCTAGTTGAAGATTGGACTGTTTTGGGAGACAACCTGGCCAACCCTTCAATCTTTTAATTGAAAGTCATGTGCTACTTTAGTTTACCAATAAGTCCACTTAAAAGGGCCAATCAAAAGATCACCAATCAGACAAATATCTCAGCATTCAGTATTGTAAGAATAAGGGACCTAACTCAAAGCCAATTTCTACACTCATTGGTGCTTCTAAAGCATGGAACACCAGCCCAGGTTTTAGGAGGTGATCCTTCTCCTTTAAACGCTACCTCCAGTAGACATTTTACACTTGTGGGATTGTTCAAAAAGTTTCTGCAAGGAAATCATAAACAGCATGTTCTAACGGTAAAACAAAACAGATCATTACAATGGTAAAAATAAAAATTGCTTAACCGACATCCAAGCCATCCATCTTGCTAAGCTCGGTAAAACAGCCTTGCCCCGCAGGATGGCTGACTCTCACTTCTCAATTTTAATTAGCATGACTGATCATACGCACTTTAATAGAAATTATGGGGATTTTTTTTTTATAATATATATATAGATATATACAGAATCACTTTATTAGCCCAAGAAGGTATTTTTTAATTTATATCTTATTTGTCTATTGCACATATTTTATCAGTTGATGCCTTAAAACAATTAAAACTGCATTAATTACCATTGAGATGTACAGAGTAAAAAAAAAATGTTCTAGTTGTAGAGATGCATTAGTTCACATTAGTGAGTATATTTGTAGTCTAGATTTAAAAAAAAAAAAAAAAAGAGATCTATGATCTATGATTACCTCTTGGTGTCACAATCATATATAATAAAGGTTAATACGTGATCGACACCTTGACCTTTTGGGTTTTGCAAACACGCTCTGTTGCTTTATTTGGGATATTTATAACTTGGATCGTTAAGAACCTCAGGCTTTGCAAATGCCTCCTGATAGGTGACAAGCAAATGCTACTTACTGTGAGATAAGTACCTTAATCCTCAAGGTATTTTCATGCACAATAAAGGGAGAAAAAAAAAAGAATAAAATTAAAAAGATGTTAACTCTCCATAAACCTTCAGACCACATGAAATTGAAAACCA